CTCTCTCTCTCTCTCTCTCTCTCTCTCTCTCTCTCTCTCAGCTTTTCAATTTATGCATAAAATCAAATTATGTTTGAAATAATCTACGAAGATAATTGAGCATGTTGCAAAAGAAATGTGTCGTATATTGTAGCAGATTGTAAATCACCAAGTTTCCCAAGGAATTTGTGTTTCGGATGGCTCGTTGAAAATTTCGTCTAACACCCGTTCAACGTAAAACTTCACGTGCGAGCAAAAGTATACTCGACTGTGATCTGAAGCCTGGCAAAAATTTCAAAGCGGCCTCCGCCAAATAACAATCGAGCATTATAACGCAATAATTAGCTCGGCAAATTCGCGAACCTCCAAAGTTTCATGCGTATACCCCTCGCCGACTCTTTTATCGCCGATCTGCAAAATAAATGCGAGAGCGAGTCGATGAACGACAGGGCGAGAAACAAGGGCGGCCAACTCGTTTTATTTGCATAGAAACGTCAGCTTTTATTCGCTCGATGATCTCGTCTCGGGGTTCTTGATTTCTCGATCTGGAATCGCGCGTAAAAAGGTTTCAGATTAGCTGTGGCTGTTCGTACATCTGCTTCGCGTGTACAATACGCTGCGGAGCAATGTTAACACGGAAGTTCGTGGAGCCGGGGCACAGCTGGTTTCGAGAACCGATTTATCGCGCGACTATCGCGGTCCACACGCGTATTGTGACGCAACGATGTGATAGAAAATTATTTTACCCCTAATCGTAGCCAGCTTATCGCGCTTGCGTCTCAAGATTGTGATATACACCTATGCGCGCACACGTGATTTGTGTTTATGACGTGACTCGATGATGAAACGATAACGAATCCAAGCGTAGTTCTGCGAAATATGAAAACAGAATGAGATCTCCTCGCGTATCGTATTTTTTTTTCTTTTTTTTTCTTTTTTTCTTCCAAATACGCACGTGGGTAGATATATTTGAACCTTAATTCGACAATGTTGAATCCTGGTAAACACAATCGCGTCCCATGAAATTCGGCCAAATATCGAATAATGAAAAGGATATTGAGTCTGTGGCATGCAAATTTAATTTTTCGACAAATATCGCGCCCGGCTCGCGCGCCAGAAATTTGTGTGCTCGCGACTGCCGATGATCAGCGCCCGGGAAAATTTCGATGCGGGCTCGCTGGAAACGCTCGACCGTGAGGAAATTTCATTTGGAGCAAACTGGTTTTTACTTCATGGGCAAAATGCTCGTTTTACGTTCGATAATAGACACCATTAATTTCAACTTATCGAGGGACGATAGTCACGGAAAAAATGTTTTTGAAAGAGATGCAACACTGGTCGCCAACGATCTTTCTACGAAGAATTAGTAATAGAAAAGAATTTGAAGCGTGTTTCTTTTTTTTTTAATTAAAACTTAGACTTCCGGTATTTATTGGAAAATCGTGAAGAATCGTCGAAGAGGCGGAGGTGAAATAAATCAAGTGGTGAGACGTTTATATTGTTTATACAGCATAAAGTCGGTACGTTCGGCAACGGTCAGCCTCGGGACTCGAAAAGTAAAAGTTTTCCGGCGCAATAATCGTGGGTCGTAAAAATTTATCTGTTTATTGCGGCGTCCATTGCCTCTTGAAATGGGCTGTAACTGATTTTGTCAACAAAATCCTCTTTTCCTTTTTACAGTTTTACAATGTTTATTCACACGTAGACGTGCCTTTTAATTTTCGCCAGCCCTTGTCACAAACAGTGCGTCCTCCGATATATAAGATGTACTAAGGAAATAATTTCATAAATTCCTGCGTTAAGGACTATCGTGACTGGTGTCGATCGTGTGCCTCTGCGTGTGTCACGAAGTGAAACGAGTCTGTTTTCAACACAACAACAAACACTGTTTTACACAATTTATCGTGGAATAAGGTAGTTTCTGCCTGATTCAGATAGCTTTGGACTGATGTTTCATCTGAACTGAAATCTTGGTTACGAAATCGTGAATTGATTCTTGAAGCGATGCTTAGAGCCTTTACAGAAATTGGCCAGCCAATCACTTCAAAGTACGTGGCAATTTTAATTGCTCCAACTGTAATCGGCTTAAATGACGCGAAAGTCGAAGTTAAAGAGAACATAAAACAAACAGATCGACGGGTCAGCGACCGTTCAGTGACAGCAGTGAACGACACAATAGCCGCGATGGAGCGAGCGTTAAGACTTTCTGTCAATTCAAACAAGAAACGACGAACGTGAGGCAATAAATTTCTTTGAACGAAAACACACAAAAACAAAAAGTCCCGAACCGTCCTTTGTCTGTCAGAAAATTATATTTATATAATTTAAACTGTGTTGCGATCGTTTTCACACTTCGAGAGTCCTCGTCGAGTGACGTCAACATTCTGATAAGAAAGATGCAGAGAGATGGAAGATCAGCAAGTCTCCGAAATACGAAATGAAATGTAAATGCGTATACGTGGTATATGCCGCCTGCATGAGGCGAGTCGATCGCAGGCATGCAACGGCAGACCCCCTAACCGTGTGCCACATTAATGACACACGTAGACGACAGAGAGAATCGTTGGACAGAGAAAGGTAGAGGCACCGTGTGCCGGACGTGTGTATACGTGTGTCATAAGCTTGGCTGGCGCGCGCAACGCGATACGATGTCGACGATGCATACGGGATCATCGAGATGGGGGCCCTGTGTGGGAATTCTGCTGAAACGTTAAACAGTGTTTACTCGCCGGGCCATGCACCGTGAATGCTCTTGCCCGCCGGTTTCATCAATGAACTCTTTCTTTTACGCAACGAACCCGCGGAGAAACGCGCGCCCGCCTCGCGCACGCAACCCCATGGGAAAATGCGCGATATCGTGCACGATTGCCGGAACTTCGCGCAAAAAACTACGTCGGTGGGATTTCGA